CTAATTACCACAGTCTGATGCACGCATGCCTTTGCCTGCTAATGACTGGGGAGATGTGGCGATTTCCTTTAAAAATCCAGCCCCTTGTCATTCTTTTGTGCCAAGATAATTCAGATGCAATGGATGAAGAGCAGATTAGGCCATGATCCACTGATCATAACTTTCCATCGGATTTATAGCACCAGATGGCCTAATTATTCTCAACAGTTCTCAATCTCTGTCTGTCAGGGAGACCAGATGTAATTTCTACCTTCTGGTGAAATCAACTCCTAAGATTGAATACAAGAAATAAATTGTGAAGCATGGACCAAATAATTGAGATAAAAAGTGAAATATGTAATGGGTAAAGGCCCTTAGGCCTATCATCTCCTTATTTGCTGAAGGCAAGTTTCAGGAACAGTGCAGCTTCAGGGACATGAGAGGCATTTTAGTACTGGGTACATTCTAATGTAAGTTTTTGTTTATCTTCAAACACACACACACAAGTGTGTGCCTGGTCCCGAGTGTCTGTACCCTAGGCTGCTACACATAAATGTTGTATAGAATGTATAGAATTTAAACTTCCTTCCAATGCCATTTAGTCTCACATTTATCTTTTGTTTCTTCTTATGTTTTTATTCAGTAAGTTAATATCTTGCAAAAAAAAAAAAAGTCAATGTACTAAACATGGTCCCCCATTCAGTTCTGTTTAAGATAGACTTCAAATCATGCCTCATTTGTATATTGCTACATGACTGTCTTCTAAGGATTTGACTAATTCTAGCATGCCTTCTGTCTTCCCAAATAATTCACTACATAGAAGTCCGTGAAAAATAATCAGCTGCAAAAATGGCTACTATAGTTTAACCTTCATGTTTTAAAATGATGGAAATTCCCTGCGTCTGTCCCTGTCCACTTCAATCCTTCCAAGGTTGGTTCACAAGCCCTAGTTTGCAATTGGTTTGCTAGGTCTGTGGCCATATTCAAAATGCGGGTCCCTTTCATTCGGGATATCAACTGATGTTCAGAATTCAATGTCAACGTCAAAATAACATTCTCCTCCTCATATGTAAAAAATGAAATTACATCATTCACTTCAGTAAATACGCATTTACATTTCCATCCCACCCACCCCAACCCACCCCCTCACCATCAGTTTAGCTGAGTATACTCCAGGATTATTCTGAACATTCTTTTTAAGAAGGACTATGGCCCTTGTTGGGCTCATAGTCTTTATTTTTCTATCACCATCCTTAAGCACACTGTCTGGGCCCTAGGCTGCTATATTTAAATGTTGTGAAATGAAAAGAAAATATATACACCTTCTTCCCAAAAGAATACATCATTTTTATAAGTCCTATGATTGCTCCTTCCACTGACACTTTACAATTTCAGAACAAAAACTGTGCTATGACATCCTGACATGGTCCTTGGTAATTAGAAGACAGTATCACATGTTCATGCCCTAAATTTGTTTTTCAGTGATAATCTCCTCTCTGAAAGTATATTATTCATGATCCAGTAGTTACAGAATTATAAAAGAAAATTAGCAATTCAACGATAAATGTTATATAGAGTGATATACTTTTAGGAATGCAGGGAATCTTTAAGATCCATGTAAGAATATTGCAAATGATTTTAGTAATAAGAAAAATTTGCCAATTCTTACTCAATTAACTTGGCTATTTTTAGATATTCTTTTTCCTACGATAATATTTTCATTGTGTCAGTTACAATAATGCTGCACCCAGAATCACTATAAATGTTTCTTTTTGGTATAAAGTGTAGAAAATGCCCTATATCCTAGAGGACTTTGAAGACGTAAGAGTTTAATATAAGTATTTTTAAATAAATAAAGTTAGATCGAACAGACTTCAGCAAAATACTCAGGAGTTTCACATTCCTGAGTATTGCCAACATTCTTCTCCAACCCAGTGTTTATTGCAACCTGATGTGAATTCAAAAGAAGTCAGCATTCCTGAAGAAAGCAGGGGAACAATATTAGAAGTTACATTCATTACTAGTCAGGTTGCAACACTGGTAGTGGCTCATTTATTAGTAGCTTCCATTTTTTTAGGATAGCCCCCAGTGCAAAGCAGCACTTTAACCCTGGGGAGTCCTGCTGTAGGCATTAAGAAGAGGGAAGGAAGATTTCTTTTCCAAATTAAGTTGTCAAGTAGCTCATTTACACTACACAGTGAGTGTATGTGGGCGAGCTGATGAAGACGATGATTTATGATGCTATAGACACTTGAGCAATTCTGGTGATGGAAATCCACAGCAAAACCCACTTAGGATGATAAAACAGAATTCCTATTATCTGCAGGAGGCAAAATCACGTAGTTTTTGCCCTTGCAAATTTCAAGTTACCCTACTGGATCTGGGAATGCAAGGAAAGCTCATTTACTTAAGATTCATGTTTTGGCACAATGCTATTATACAGACTAACATACATACCCATTTTTTAAAGTTTATATTCATTGGATCTTTTAAAGGATTTTTGATGTGCTGTTTTCTTTTGGGGACTGAGGATTTGAGGACTGCATCTGTCCAATCACATCATGGATAGCTATATAACATAGCAGACGGTTAAAATATCTTTAAAAGATTGTAGCCATCCATCTGCAAAGCCAGTAAATATGCCTTTTGGTAAATTCTCTGTGCAAAAATAAGTTTTATGATATGGGGCAACTACACAAACACATCTGACTAATAATTGTGGCCATCATCAGCTAGCTTCTTCATAGCGTATTATAGGAAAAAAAAAGATACAGAACACAAAAAGAGTAAAATGATAAAACCAAAGCAAAATTTGTATTTGAACATACTTAAGTATATTTGGTGTGCTTGCTCTTTAAAAGTCAAGAAAAATAATTTTAGGAGTCTCATGAGAATTAACAGGCTTTGATTCTTAAATTTAAAAATGTGTTTGTAATATCCCATTTTAGTAGCAAAGTGCCAGCTTTAGCAATAGAATCTCAATGACAAATAAATTTCCACATAAGCAAGGCAGAAGGACAAAACTCATCGTAGTTCTACAGTTAATCTTTCTACATGGTTTACAAGTGTTTCAACAGAGTGCTCAATGAAGCCTTTAGAAGGATTTATTGTAAGCGGCTTCTATGAATTCCCCATCTTAAATATAATATAAAAGAGTCTTTCATTGATGTGTACTTATGCATACTAGATTATTATCTGCTTCTTATGCCATCTAAATATAGATGAATATTCACTACTTTATTCATACAAACATCTCATTGCAACATTTTTTTCTTATAAAAGAGTGCAAAATTATGATTCTACAAATTGACAGAACATTATTTGCTTCTTTTGCAATACCTAAACTATACTGGAGCAACCAGCGCTTTTGTTTTGCTTGTATAAAATGATGTATCAAAATTTCCTCTCACATGTTTCTGGATTCCAGGAGTATGTGTCCACCTCCTGTATTTCATTTCGTATTTTTATGCCAAAAATTCAGAGGGATACATTCATGTATTTACAAGCAAACACTATTTATGTAATAGTTACTAAGTATGTGACCATTGTAATTTCTTAATCGTAAGAAAATATTACAAATAAAGTTAAAGATTCAACAATTTTTTTTGGCTTTATATATATTTTCTAATTCTTCTGATGCTTAATTTAGTTATATTTAGCTTTAAAATATTTTTTAACAGGTAAATCTATGTAGTCTCTACAGGGCTTCGTGAGTTTTCATGCTAATATTTAATAAGTACTATCATCTTTACTCTGAGCAGCGATTGTAAGCAAACACTTAAATGTAGATAATTTCACATACACATGAACACATAAATCAAACGTATTAGGATGCAATAAAGGCTCAGAAATTACAGATGGTAAACATAGTTTCCCTAGACCTAGAGTTGACTCATCAAGGTTGTGATTTAAATTAGAATATATTTTAACTTAAAAACTTGTGTTGTTTTATAAGCATTTACAATTTAATAGGGCTAATATTTATCAGCCAGAGCAATTTACTGTTATAATGTCATAATATTATTACCTCCTTTTTTGTGTTAAAAATGTTACAGTTGTATATTTTTAGAAAATGTTGACATTTCACGCTACAGAGAGATGAACTTGAACCACACAGGAGAGTCAAAGAACATAACTGAGAATTAAGTTAATATTACAATGTATAGATTTGGATATTATCATCCCTAAAATCAAATGAGACAAAATTCCAACCTAACACTACAGTTTTAATAGTCTATTGAGAAATATGGATATTTACTTTCATAAAACTGTCCTTCTGTCAGTCATAGTGTTTTTCGTAAATTGCATGTTGAAAAATCTGCTTGTGCAGAAATGCCCTCCCTGCCACGATAACACCCCATGTTATCCTAGTGCTTTTCGGCTTTCACAGCACTTCTGTGTGGTCCTCACAACTGCCCTAGGAGGTGAGGAGGCTTACATGAATACTGCCCTCGCCCCAGTGAGAAAACTGAAGCTCAGAGACAGGGCTCAGATGCCCTTCAGATGTTATGAAGGTGTCTCTTTTTTTCCAGTTAAAAAATACATATTTTCCCCTCCCTGTGTCCACGTGTTCTCATTGTTCAACACTCGCCTATGAGTGAGAACATGCAGTGTTTGATTTTCTGTTCTTGTGTCAGTTTGCTGAAAATGATGGTTTCCAGGTTCTTCACATGTACCCCAAAACCTAAAACGCAATAAAATATATATATGTAATATATTTTGCATTTTGACCTGACCTATAAATTTTTGTAGACAAAACACAGGAGCTTCAGATGCCTCAGAGATCCTCAGCCAAACAGAACCTTGGCAGATGCTGCAGGGGATGAGACACCACCTCAGAGACACTAGCAGCATGGCTTCTCCCTGAGGCAGGTTTTGGTATCCATCTCAAGGGAAAAAAAAAGAAGAATAAGAAGAAGAAGGAAGAGGAGGAGGAGGAGGAGGAGAAAAAAACTAAAATAGAATAATCAGGATAACAAGTTTTTTTCCAACACAAAACAAACTCCTGAAATATACTCTTGTTTAGATTGGTCCACTTAATACCTTATTTATTAGACAGGATAGCCCAATAACAACCTGTGCTAATAAAGGTGTAATACAAACATACATGTGTTATATATGTTTAAGTGACAAAAGTAACAAGTACTCATATACACTTAAATCTATGAAATATTATATTGTCCCCTAACGAGATTTCCTGTTTGTTTGAAATTGAACATAAGTTTAAGGAAATGAGGGAAAGAGGACAAAAATAACCAAGAGCATTAAGAAGCATTAAGAAGCATGTTCCAGCATCCTTCTATTTATGTTATCAGCCTTAATAAATAATGTTCTTATTTAGAAGTATGTCTGCTCATCACAGAGCCAAGGTACCCCTAATGCTATTTTATTGATTTCTTCCCTCACAAAATGCAACAGCATCTTAATTCAAATAAAATTCTGCATCCCATTGTGTTCCTCATCTGAGGACAGTAAAACTTAGACCTGTCTTCAAACTATACATTTTGTTATTTGCATAATCCCCACTGAATTTCTTCTTCAAAAATGGAATCCAATGTTTCTCCATCCTCACACACATTTTAGAAACAACTATGCCCTTAAAGTGTTTGTTTCTTTTATATCAGCGTTTGCTGATGAAAATACTGGATCAGAACTTCTATCACATCAAAGATGACATGTGATAAAAGCAGACTGCCTATGCCTAAAACCTTCTTAAGCTGTCTTTTTCACCTATCTCCCACAAGATCTGCCTTTTCGAAAAATACATATGTATAAACTGAAATGCATCTAAGCGTACAATAACCATCCAGACCCACAGCCAGGTCTGCACATACTGGCGTGTGTGTTTGAGGGTACATTTTTTTTACAGAGGCACTGTATGGATTTATCATCCCCAAGTCCTTGACGTCGGCCTTTACTTCCACATATTTTGCGAATTGGGAGAGGAAGTAGAGGATAAGAGCAAGCTAGACATCAAATCCATTTATTCTGAATCTTAAATTGTTACTTTTTATCATCAATATTTTGGTTACATTGTTACACAAAGAACAAATTAACATCCGGTTTGAGGTCTCCTCTTTGATTGCTTTGGGATGACTGACATTTCCTTGGCATATGAATTACACATCCATCAACTCTCAGCTGTGTCTTAATAATGTTGTTGTACAAGACGCCAAAACAAGAAGGATTTGTATCAGTGCTCCTGGGGTGCCTCCACCAATATCTTAACCACGGTGACTTCCAGGTGGCTTCTGGCCAGGTGCATGCAGGAGAGTGTCAATGCATCCCTTTCCTGGGCAGATCAAAAGAGGATCCGGAGGAAGAGGAGCTGGTCCTGTCGGCTCTGAAGCACCTGATCACTGTGCGGTCACTCAGAGGTGGATGCAAATAAATTAAGACACCCGCTGAGAAGTCACATCACACACGGCAAAGAAACAGTATGTGTAGGGGATTTGGTCTTTACAGCTTCCACTCCCAACTTATGAGATTCAGGACCACCCAGGAACACCAAGTTAAAAGATTCTGAAGTATAAATTAAAAAAAAAAAAAATCCAGGTTGCTATTAATTGTTCTAAAGGTGCATCTTAGAATCTCTTTGAGAGAATAAGCAGAATTGTCCATTGTGTTATTTTTACTTTGATAAACAGATACTTTTTGTTTAGTTTGGTCTCATCTAAAAAAAATACAGTTATTTTAAAGTTTTGTTTTGTTTGGTCTTATCCAGGAATTCAACATATATTTTCTCTCCCCAACCCCGGCGAGAAAAATAAGTGAGGTTGAGGCGGGAGAGCTGAGTGCAGAAAGGAAAGTAAAGCTGTTAAAGAAAAAACACGCAAACAATACAAAACGAACGTTACAGTCCAATCGTGCAAAATTTGCTTCTCTGGATAAAGCACTTCTTGACAGGTTCACAATGTCCCCGCCCCCCTCCCAAGTCCTCCCATCCACATGGTGGGGGGAGAATACAGAATGAAAGTGAAGCCATTCTTTTTCTTAAGGCTATACAGACACACACAGAACACACATCAAGGGCTGTCCAGCGGTGGTTCTCTGCTGAGCTCCGGCTTGGAGCCCTGACTGCAACCTGCAGCCCATCCTGGAGTCAGGAGCTCTCCTTCCATTGGGACAGCAATACAACATACAAACAAAAGAGGCCCATGGTCCCAACAATAAAATCCGATATTGACTTTACAATCACAGGTACAAGTTGCTCAAATTGATCATTTCATTTCTCCTTAAGACCTTGTCATCTAAAACTAATTAGAGGCCAGGTTCCCGAGGAATTGTCAATATTCCAAAAAAGAAAAAAAAAAACAACAAAAAGTATTGGAGGTTTCAAAGGAAATCATTTTTCTACTGCAACAGTCTGACGGAGGTTGGAAACAAGGTGTCCAATTCCAGCAAGTTTAGGGTGTGTTAAAGGGCAGATTCCTGGGTCCACATTGCCATTTCCCTACCATCCAGGGGGCTCTGTGTTTATAGAGGAAACACCAAGAAGCCCGAGAATGTGGAGTATTTCCAGCCCCCCATGAGGTTGCCTCTCTCAAGTTTGAGGTGCACTTTGTCTTCCCTTTCCATGAGCAGCAGAACACCATTGCTAGCAGCTTCTCTGGTGACATCCTGGTCTCCTGCAAAGGCGGAGATCACTGGGTAGCCATTCTGCATTAAACTGACCTAAAATGCAGAGAGTAGAGCTCAACAGACCAGAAAGGACCCAACTCCCACACACTGTTTTCTGCTGTGCAAATATCCCCACTCCCACCCCCATCTCTCCCCTAGAACACACACCAAGGGGCTTGACAGTGAGCACCCCTATCTGGTTCAGAGCCACATCTCCTGTGGAGAGCCCAGCATCCTGTTTCCCTCAGCCTCACAGACCTGGTGGAAGGGCCTTTAGTAATGGGGAGCTATAAACCCAAACCTGAAAGGATCCAGTTTCAAATCTACCCACCTGGATGGTTTGTCTGTTATACACTTTGACCACGTGGAAACTGAAGCTATAAATCCCTTTTCTCGGTGCTACAAATATACTGGAGGCAAGATCAAAGTGGTTGCCAATATTTACTAATACCTGAAAAAGAAGAGGGAACACAGCACAGAATAGCAAACCCCTCCTCAGTATATGTTTTCATCATTCTTGGATAACGAGCAGCACTGCCTCCTTCATCAGCCGCTGGGAACACCAATTCAGCATCCTCAGCGTTCTGGCTTCCCCAGGAAGGAGGCAGTGCTGAAGTTAAAATATCCTATAGCAGGAAGTAATCTCAAAGCTATTTTAACAAATTTTAACTAATCAAGATTTTTTTAAGTATTTTATTTATGCATTCAAAAGCTGGCTGTGAATTTCCTAAGTTAAGGGGCAGGGCAGAGAGAAAGGAATCGAAGATGGTAAGTTTGTTGAACAAATCATAAGTTGAGTCCAGGGAGGTCTGTGGGATTATTGGAACATCAACATGATGCCTTGTTTGACAAGAAGAGAGTTCCATTCTGAGTGAGGAGAGAAAGGGCTTTGGAGGAAGAGTCTAATTAAAGGAGATCACCTCTGTAAGTTCAAGCTTGGGGCCTAACTTCATGGGCTCCCGGAGACAAAGGGGTCTGTGAGGTTTGGGACTCCAGTGTTTCCCAGTGCCTGGCAAGCTCTGGATGCACACAGTAGGTGCTCAATGATGGGTGCTGAATGAAAGACCTTTGTAGAAAAACATTTGCTGCTTCTGTTCTTCCTTACTTTCCCCTGAGCAATGTGCTGCTCCCTTGTCTGAGCTCTAGTGTCCTGCAATAGAGACTCATTGGCAGCTTGGACATCCTCAGCTTAAGCAAATGGGAACTCTACAACATGAAAAACAATGACAAAGTTAGCCACCTGGGATGAGATTGCATGACCCTGCAGATGGCTTTCCTCAGATAAAAGGACGGGAGTGTTTCATAAGCAGAATTTTAAGAGTGGCAGGACCCCCATGATGACCCAGTTTCTTTCACATGTTCAACACAGACTCTGACCACTGTCTGGATGCTTTCTCCATTCTCCTCATCCATAAATGCATGAATCCTTTAACATAATAAGATGGCCTGCCTTTTAAAACAAACAGCCAGTGACAACATCATCCTTGGATTTAAGATCTTGTCATCTAATGAGAATATAAACTTAACCGGGATACCTTTGCTGTTTTTTCTTACAGTCTCATTACAGATGACTAACACGCAATTCCCAACGCAATGTGAAATGCTGCCAATGACGACCGCTGAAATGCCTTGTGAAATATGCCTGTTCCAGCTTCTTCAACTCAGCTGTGAGCACCACTTCAGCTCCACTCAAGGACAGGACTGAAATAGACACTCCGGGCTCCATTGTTAAGACAAGCACCTCTGGATGCGTATTCTCAGTCTCACAAGGCTATGCTCGCTTCTTCCTTACAATGCTTTAGAAAAGAATAAAGCATTCTCCATTTAAGCCTCGGAGGCTGCTTCTTTCTTTCCCCTCAACTCCTTCACCTCAATTTTAAATTCTGGAAACTGATAAATTCAGTTAGAATTTATCCCTGCTGTAGATGAAAGAACACCCAACCAGACCCCGAAAAGCAGACCTTCACTCCTCATTACCTGGAGAGCCAGAGAAATATTGAACCCACCCTGCCATAGTATGCTCATGTATAAAATTAGAATCCTGCTACTACTTATCCTGCCCTACATCACAGAGCGTTCTTGACACACAAATGCCATGGTAGATATTAAAATGCTATGAAAACTCTGCAAGACATTGGTATGTGAATAATAATAATATAACAATAACATCACATAAAGAAAACTTTACTAATAGAGTATTAATTTCCAAATGCCTATTCCATTGTTGTCCCATCTGGACATAATCAAAATACTTTTATGTTTTGTAAATGAAAATGAATTAAAGAAAGAGACACATGTCTACCCCCACGAAAAAAAAAAAACCCTCAAATACTTGATGCTTAATAATGATTAAGAGAGAAATACACTGGCTTAAATAGAGTCAAGAGTGTGTGTCTGTAGGTTTATGGTTATTAAGTTTAAGAGCTGCTCAACGGACCAAAGGAAAGTCAATTAAACATGTACAGTAAGCCTTGGTAAGTTGTCAGTGACTGCCAGGTGCTCCATTTTGTGGAAAACACTTTGGTAAAAGGACTAGCTAGTTAGCTAAAGTTTGGAAACCTCTATAATGTTTTTAATATTTTTTCTGAAAAACAACAGAAACCAGGTGAGCAGGACAGAAAAAGAACCTCACAGCCCTAACCCTGAGCATCAATAACCCAGAGAAGGGTTTGGAAAGGCCTGATCATATCTCTGAACCTTCTGCATTGAACCAAATGGCGTAAGTTAAGTGGCTTAAGATGACGTAAGTCACTGCTCTTTTTAAAAATTTGTACCAACACACTATTCATGTATACATTATACATATTACATTGGCTTCTTTGTATTTCATTTACTATATATTTTACTTACATAATCACAATATTTTGTTTTGTATTTATATAATCATTCCTGCTCTTCCTCACTTTTTTTTTTTTTTAAAAAAGATAAACATCCCTTCCCAAATGTATTTCTCGAAATAAGACAAATGGGATCTAATTAAACTTTTAAAAAATAAGCCATAGGAATGTATTTTTCAAATGCTGGCAGAGACTTGGGAAGACTCCTTTCTTGAGCGTGGGGAATTTTAAATGCACTCAATCCTTCAGGTGGCCACCTGGGTGACTGAAGACCGTCAACCACAAGTTTTCCCCACCCCGCAGAGAAAAGTAAAACGTGCAATGCTTCCTTTAGGGAAATACATTTCAAATATTTAGTTTTAGGGAACTCTTAGAAAGCTTAGCCTTAAGGACCTCTCACTCATCCAAGTGCCAAGTTAGCTGACCATTTAAAAGTTTTAAAAAAAGCCACAGAGTGGAAGAGGGAAACAGTAGGAGTGCGTTCTATGAAACAGGAGGAAAGAGAATGGCAGGACAGAGGGGAGGACAGAGCCTGGGAGCTCCACGTCCTAGAAGCCTGAACCCCAGCCCGCGCGCGCAGGTCCCCGACCCTCTCCCCGGGCTGGGCTGGCAGCGGGGTGGGCAGGCCGGCGGCTGACCTGGTCGAAATAGATGGTCATGGTGCGGTTGCTCATCTCGGACGGTTCGTGGTTGGTGCTCCGCGTGGCGGAGAAGGCCACCTTGGCGCTGCCGGAGCGCACGGAGATGCCCAGGGAGGAGGTGACGGCGCCGTCCGCCGACGGGCTGGAGTCGCACACCACCAGGCACTTGCCCTCCAGCACGATGGGCTCCGTGTCGTTCTGCGCCCGCACGGGGCAGCAGGCGGGCAGCAGCAGCAGCAGCAGGGCCAGCGCCACCCCCAGGCAGTCGCCCGGCCCACGCAGCGCCCCCCGGCGCCCGGGCATGGTCAGCCGCAGCCCGCGTGGCCCCCGGCCCGGCGCCGGCATCTGGGCTGGTGGGGGGCGGCGCGCGGGGGCGGAGGCCGGCGGGGGCCGGAGCAGCGCGGGAGGGCGCGCAGGAGCGCGCGGGGCCCGGAGCAGCCTCCGCGGGCCTTGGTCCCCGCTCTGACGGTCAAGGCCAGGGTCGTTCTCAGAAGAAAGGCGCCCGTGGACCTGTCAGGGCACAGAACCCAAAGCCTTACACCAGGAGATGGAGCCACCGGGAAGAAGGGGAACTGCGGCTCGGGGCCTCTCCCCGAAGGCCACCCCCTTGGTCCCGCGCGCAGCCAACCCGCTTTCCGATCTGGCACAACAGGTCCGGAGAAACGCCCGGGCGCGGCGGGCAGAGCATCCCTGAAGGCTCCGAGCGGCGCGCGGGGCTGCGGCGAGGGAGGGGGGCGCCCTTCTGCAGGTCCTAGTCGCTCAGACGGGCACGAGACCCTCAGAAGGCGTCACCGCCACCCCGCCCATTCACCGGCGCGGAGGGGGCTGAGACGCAGGCAGAGAAGAACCCACGGGGGCTTCCCTTCTCGCCTTCGTCTCACGGCGTTTCCTCGGAGGAGCACCACGGAGCCCTTTTTCTTTCCCTTGTTTCCCTGCTAGCCTCTATTTTTCCATCCTTGAGAGGTATCTAAAGTCCATTTAAGTCCCTTTAGTAATAGATTTTATCTATTTTCCACCCAAATAACAACCCCCAGCAATCTGCTGAGGGTGAATAAGATTAAGAGGGGGAAATGACACACACACGCACACACACACACCACACACGCACGCAGTAAAACCAACACCCACTTCCAGTGTCCCCGCAGCCACTAGCGAGCCCCGTGGAGAAAGCCCTGGGATTCCTCTCTCCGGCGAAGGACAGATTCCAACGACGGAATCCCAGGCTCCGCTTATTCTCCAGCTCCGGTTTCCAGACCCCGGGGCTTCTCTCTTTCCCGGCTGGGCGGCAGCACCTGCAGGTTTCTGCGAACTTACGCGCCCGCCTGCACTTTTGCCCGGTCTCTGCTCCTCCCAGGAAAGCAGACAGGCCATTTCAATACCAGCCCAGAGAAGCGCAAAGAAGCCGCCCCCTCACCGCCCACAGGCTCCCATTCACTCTTCCAGTGTTCTTTCTAAGAACGGAGAAGTTGGCGCTTCATAAACACCCGCTGTCCACAGCGCCGATCCTACATTATTTCCCTTCTCCCTCGCCACCGCCCCCACCCTCGACCTGGACCAGCGACAGTCCTGGTCAAAATCCACGCAGAAGGCGCCTGCATGCAGAGGGGAGGGAGGGCAGGTCGGGGTGGTTACCTGGAACATCCATGCTGGGCGAGCTCCGCGGTCCGCGAAGTTGCTCTGCTTAGAGAAAATGAGGCCAGCAGGAGCTGTCGGGAGGCGGACACGGAGCGCGACCCTGCTCCCAGCGCGTGGCCAATAACCGCGCCGCCCCGCCCTGCCGTTTTCCCGCGCCAGCCCGCGCAGCTTCAGGGGTGCACCACGCCCCGCGCCCCACGCGCCCGCTTAGGCGCTGAGCCCGTGACCGCGAGCCCCGAGTCTGGCCGGCTCAGCGCCCCGCGCCGTGCGCCAGGGCGCCTCCAACCCCTCTGCTTCGCGCCCGCACCGCTACCTGGGGCCCCTAGCGCTCCCGCGCCCAGCCCGCCCACGGCGCGGCTCCCTAGTGGGTAACCCTCGGCCACGCAGCCCCGCCAGACCCAGAGGGCACAGCCGAGCGCTGCCGCCGCCCCGGGACTCCGAACCGGCTCCGCTCCCGCGCCCTCGGCACCCTCCAACGCCCAGGTCCGGCTCACCCAAACGCCCAGAGCAAAATCCTCCCAGACGTCTCTTTTGAAAATTAGGCACCCTTAAAAGCACCAGTCGCTTCTCTTCTTTTAGATTCTTTCTTTTCTTTCCCCAATTCCCTCCAAGTCTTAATCTTTAATGGCGTGACCACTTTCATAATGAAAGGGAAAAAAAAAAAAAAAAAAAAAAAAAGGTTAAAAAAATAAAAATAAGACTGGGATGGCTAGGACGGAGAGAGAAAAAGCTTGAGAATTTGGTGATGTAGGAGCTGCGGTTCCAGAATCCCGTTTGGGAACTGTCCGGTTGCTTCAGGGCTGGAAGAGGCGCCCCGGCCCGGGTCTGTGTGTCTGCTCTTCTGGACCTCGGGCTGGTGAAGCGGATGGCGCTCGCGCTTATTTATTAAATTGCGGGCTCCGCGCTCGCTCGAACGACCCGGGGAGACTCTCGCGCTGGGTTTCCGAGCTGCGCCTGGAGCGCGGGCGAGGACGCAAACACGGACGTGGGGCGCCACCTGCGGGTGCCCGCGCCTCCCTGCCGCAGGCTGCGAATCGGCGGACTACGACCGAAGACTGGGGAGTTCTAGCGGCAAGGCTGAGGTCTGCTGACGGTCTTCTTTCACCCCGAAAACAGCGCTGGCCTCTGCCAAAACACAAAACAACAACAACAAAACAAACAATAATAGTAGCAACCACAGGAAGAGCAATACTGACCAGTCTTCCCGGTATCTTCGGTACCTTTGCTGCCGGCAAAATCAAGCAGCACGCCTGATTTTGCGGATCTTCACTGCTCTAACAACTCTGCCAAGATGATAGATGCTGCAGTGAGGTTATCAGCGGTTATTATCGTCTGCACAACGTTTGCACAGACAACTGGGCCGTATGGTACATGCCGCTCAAAAAAACCCCAATAAAATCAATATTTAAATCTGCACTCTCTTTATAGCCTGATTTTTTAAAACAACATCGTTAAAAAAAATACTTTGTCCTTTGACTTGCATATGTCTTTTCCGATAGGCTAACAATAATAATGAAAATCAATTTAGTCAGTGCTGTTCATTAGAGCATCTGTATTTCTTATTCCTCCATTCTTCAAAGCTAACCCTCTTTCCTTTGAGGATTTCAGCAGTGTCTGATTCCACCTTAACAAACGGAGGTCTTTTCAGGCAGAGGGTTTTGAAGGCCTTATTTTCCCATATACCCTCTCACCGCTATTCTCCCCTTTTAGAACAGAGCTGCCAAGGCCTCATCTCTAAGCACTGGAGATGAAATTCACGTCAGATCAGTTCAACTGGAATGGATGTCCAGAAAGACATTGCACACTGATAGGTGGGACAAAATATTTACTATGGGTGTAAGGATGTAGTTAAAAGTACCTCGGAGCCAAGTGCTTCCTGGTTAGCCTAACATGCAAAATAGTAGAAAATATGCAGTACTCCCAAAAACTCTCATCCTCCTAAACGATACTCACTGAAAAGTCAGTGTCATACTTCAACGTTTTTGTGCCATGCTGGAGATAGGTACTGGCATTTGCCAGGAGGCTTTTTCAAATCCACCACAGTTTGCCATGATTTGTTACCATTTTTGTGCCTTTAACAAAGTGGAAATAATACATTCTTACTTTCAGATAGCTATTTTATTCCAATATTGCAACTATTTGATAGTCTCTTACTGTCAAAATAAGCCCCCATGCATTCTTCCACCACAGAGAGAACTGGTTTGAGAACAAGAATAGACAGCAAAGAATACTAGATCTTTGAAAGACATGTGAGGCACAGACATAATTAGACCAATTCGGGGATGCTAATTAATAGAAATACCTCTCACACATCTATAAATCTTTAAATAGCAGCCCTACTCAGCAACTTTCCTCAGTTATGTACTATAAGCATTTCTTTTGACTAATGTAAATGCAAGCACATATGAACTAAATTAACATCATCAACATTGGGGGGGAAAGAAAACCTCTTTCTTTCCCTTTGTTTTCTTTCTTTTCTTTCCTTCCTTCTTTCTTTCTCTTTCTTTCTTTCTTTCTTTCTTTCTTTCTTTCTTTCTTTCTTTCTTTCTTTCTTTCTTTCTTTCTTTCTTTCTTTCTTCTTTCTCTCTTTCTTTCTTGAGATAGAGTCTTACTTTGTCACCCAGGTGGGAGTGCGGTGGCATGATCTCAGCTCACTGCAACCTCTGCCTCTCGAGTTCAAGCGATTCTCCTGCCTCAATCTCCCAAGTAGCTAGGATTACAGGCGTGCCCCACCACACCCAGCTAATTTTTGTATTTTTAGTAGAGAGGGGGTTTCACCATGTTGGCCAGGCTGGTCTCAAACTCCTGAACTGGTGATCCAACCAACTCAGCCTCCCAAAGTGCTGGGATTATAGACATGAGCCATCGCACTTAGCAAGAACAACACTTTCTATGTGGCAATGTGTAAATTATATATAGAGAGGGATACTTTAATCTACGTAACTTATTGGACTAAATTATTGAATAAAATCTATAAGCATTCTTATATAATAAACAGGTTAGGTTTAAATTTGAGCTAGAGATTATTTTAGAAAAAAGCTCATAACCATAAAATATAGCAAATTGACAAATAAGTGGATTATTAATTAATTAATTAATTAATTAGCTGTATCACCTGAGAAGATATTTAGGTCAAGTGGTGGAATTTTAGCTTGTAAATATGCTTAGAAAAATTTTCAGAAAACGACTAACTTTAAAAGCAAAAGTCTTCCTAGCTATCTCAGGGATGCCTTTTTCTCTCCCTTTCCATGTTATTAAAAATTGTTGCTGTTACTGCTAGAACATTAATAGTAGGGTCTTCCCCAGCCCATCACAGTGACAGCCATTTACTGAACACCTGTGGTGGGTCAGATATTGCACCATGTCTTTTATGTAGGATGTAACATATGATTTAACACCCACAACCACCCTGTGGTAAAGACAGATGTTCACATAGAGCTGAAGAGGAAAAGTTTCTAATATTAGGGAGGAAATGTGGGAAAGGGAGAGGCTGGGATAATTCAAGTACAATTCCTCTCATTTGTTCTAAATACCTATCTCCCATAGAGCTTAAATTTGTTTTTTTGGATATAACCTATCCCTGAAAAGCATCTTCAGTATGCATTATAGATTTACTGTTGAAGCCATCAATTCCACCACTGAGTATCTACTCAATGGAAAATAAACCATTATGTCAAAAAGATACCTACACTGGTATGTTTCTTGCAGCACTATATACAATGGCAATGATATGGAATAAATCTAAGTGTCCACTAGCAGATGATTGGATGCAGAAAGTGTCACACACACGAAAATAAAATAAATATAACAAAATCATGTCTTTTGCAGCAATATGGATGGAACTGGAGGCCTTTATCTTAAGTGAAATAACTCAGAAAGTCAAATACTGCATGCTCCCACTTACAAGTGGGAGGTAAATAATGTATACACATGAACAAAGAGGGTAGAATAACAGATGTTGGAAGCTCAGAAGGGCAAGAGGGTAGGAGGATGGTTGAAGGATAAGAAATTACTTAGTAGGTACAATGTATACTATTTAGGTACCCACATAAGAAAACGCCACATGTACCCCCTAATCTATTTTTAAAATTAAAATTTTTAAAAATTATATTGACACAGAAGGTAGTAGAAAATCAGTAATATGTAACTAAAGCATTTTCTAACTTTTATTTAAGTTTATTTCTTTTAATGTAATTATGTAGCATTGGTTTTAGAACACGCTACAGGCATGATTTTAAGGCTTTTAGTATTTGGAATATTTTGAGTACACATAATGTACATAAATCATACATTTTAATCAAGAAATGAATTTCAGAAAAAAAGAAAATGCATGATTTACGGAAAAAAATTGTTGCTTTGTATCTGAGAAGCTTTATATGAGGTGATATGTCAATGTGTATTTCCCTCTTAAGTGTTCTCCCATAGAAATGAAATGTAAAGGTATGTTGCATTTTTGATCATTTAATAAAGTTTTGAGTCCAACAGTTGGAAGCTAACTTTAAACACATATATAACCATTTCCGCTTTCTGAAATATGTTTTCTTTTCAAATTGTCCTTTAACGTTGAGGCGATTGCCCTGTTTGCTCTTAGCAGAAGATATACCCTACATCCTCAAAAAAGCAACAGATCATAGGGTATGACGAATTAAGGGAGTGAAAAGCTGGGGGTTTGGGAAAGAACCATCTGAGAAGCTCCATGTTTAAAGGGGCTTTGAGTTCTCAGTGTGGTACCGGCGTCCGGAGCTGTTGATCTGGTGTCAGCAGATAGCTGAGAGGACTCCTTGTCACCATCTCCTCACGACGTCCCACTAAGCTGCCTCCCATTGCCTTAGGGACCTGCCATCAGAATTATTTAGACTGCGCTGCAGCCACAAACCAGATTGCAGATGTGACTGTTAATCCAAGTCAGAAGAAATGTAACTCAAATATTACCTAGATCTGAATAGGACCCTTTTGTTGTTTCCAAAACTATTCGTGAGCACTAACTAGTTATTTCATGCTTGATATTAATTCCTGATCTTGAAACTATTCGTTGAAAATAGAACATCCAAAGGGAATATTAAGGAAAGATTCATCGGACTGTTTTGTTTTAAAACTGAGCTACTTTAAGGCTAGTGTTTCACAGAGTTGTACATTGTCCAAACTAAGAATACCTGCTGATCCTTCACGATCCATTCTTCTGATGGAATCCACTATAAAAACCGTTTTATACCGATCATAAAAGTTTGTGAGAGAAATATGGCTATCTCCTGCACAGAGATCAGAGTCCAGGACCAAATATATTTAAGAAATGATTATGGATCTGCAAACGAAGGCTGTGCAGCCTGGTCATTTGAGCAAGCCACAAGCCAGCAGTGGCTGAATGTTGTTTCTGACCTTGTACACCCAGCATCTGTTTTCCATGGGCATCCTCTGCATGCTCTGTCCTAGCTTTCTGCACCATAAATGCAACCAGGCCAGGAAGATGTGTATTAACACCAGATTCACATATGATAAAAAGGCATTGAAATTAACGAAGGGCATCCAAACTGTAATGAATACATGAATCCTGGGGAAATCCTATTATAAATGTTAAGTGGGACCTGAAATTTTACATTTTTTTTCCTTGAGATGGAGTCTCCCTCTGTCACCCAGGCTGGAGTGCAATGGAATGATCTCAGTTCACTGTAGCCTCCACCTCCCAGGTTCAAGAGATTCTCCTGCCTCAGCCTCTCAGTAGCTGAGATTTCAGGTGCGCACCTCCACACTTGGATATTTTTTGTGTTTTTAGTAGAGACGGGGTTTCACCATGTTGGCCAGGCTGGTCTGGAGCTCCTGACCTCAACTGATCTGCCTGCTTCGGCCTCCCAAAGTGCTGGGATTACAGCATAAGCCACCGCGCCCAGCAACATTTGTAACAAGCTTGTGGCTGATGCTGCTGGTATATAGGCCACATTTTGAGTAGCGAAGATCTGTTTTTCTATTCTTGTGGGAATACTAATACCTGAAAAATATTCTGAAGGTTTACTGCAGACATGTGTGAGAAAATGTGTGATTAAACAAACTATGTTAAACTCATATCAGAAAATGATCTACTGATGATATAATAAACATGGGAGCCAATATCCAACAGCATGATTATATAGCTGTTCTTTTTCATTAGTGCCTGCTGTATTGTAGCTACTTTCTTATGTTAAATGTGTTATATCCTACACATTATTCCAAAAAGAAAGAAATCATGTTTGTGTTAAAATCTGATAGTTTTTTTCTTTTTTCACTTTTCTAAAACTCAATTTGGGCAACGCAAAAGAAGCATTACTGAGAAAACAGGAGAAATGGCTTTCTAAAGGCATTTTTAATTGGCAGCTAAGGGCATTTTATCCTCCTATATAAGATTATTCGATCAGGA